GTGCAGGGCCGGCGTTGCTTGGTTGCAGGGCCGGCGCTACTTGGGTGCTGGGCCGGCGCTACTTGGGTGCTGGGCCGGCGCTACTTGGGTGCTGGGCCGGCGCTACTTGGGTGCTGGGCCGGCGCTACTTGGGTGCAGGGCCGGCGCTACTTGGGTGCAGGGCCGGCGTTGGTTGGGTGCGGGGCCGGCGTTGGTTGGGTGCGGGGCCTTGGGCAACATAAATTTTGCGGGGCCTTTGAGATTTCATACGCCGGTCTAACTGGTCTTAAAATGGGACACGTCATACCTAAGGTTTGAATTAAAACCATAACTTTTTTTTAAAGTCAGTTTACAACCAGAAAATTTAAAATCGTTTTGGAGCCATGGTTGTCGAAAAATAAAATATTATAATTTGTTGTAACACTGAGAACTCTTCTGTCTCTGGCGAGATACCGTTCTCAGCTTTACTATTAGTTGACTCGTCCCACACCCAGATACCAGCATCCAGATACCAGCACTCAGATACTGCTCTTTGTTACACTGTGCTGGTTGGCTCATCACACACCCAGATAACAGCACTCTGACACCGTGCTTTGTTTGACCAATAAAATGATTCATACCCGGGCAGCACTCAGATACTGCTCTTTGTTACACTGTGCTGGTTGGCTCATCACACACCCAGATAACAGCACTCTGACACCGTGCTTTGTTTGACCAATAAAATGATTCATACCCGGGCAGCACAAATCACTTGACGCACCCGGGCAGCACAAGTCACTTGACTGCCATCTCAACAAGAATTTATGTTTCTCAGCAAATCAATTTATCAAATCTAATGATTGTTTTAAAAAATGAATTTTAGGGAGCTATAATAACTATTATTTTATTTCTTAACATTCAAATTGTGGATTGGTTGTTGAATGGCTGTGCGCAGAGGCGTCACTAGGGTGGGTGTCATCCGGAGCGGTAAAGTCATGTGTCAGCCCCTTTTTTTTAGACAACCCTCCCCCGACCTGCACCGTCTAAATCTTCATCAGATCATACAGAATAGCTAATAGTATTGTTTATAAATAAAAGCAAAAAAAGATATAATGTAAGAGGAAAATAGAATTAGAGGAAAGAGCGCTTTAAGTGTATCATAACTACTTTTTTTTTAATTGAAAATCTAATCGAAACAATTTAAACTTTACTTTCCTGGTCTTTAAAGATGCTAACATTTCAATCACATCATCAGAGTCAGCATTGTTCAACTTATCACTTTTAATTGACAAAATCACAAGACCACAACGAATGGACAGCACAAATAGCTCTTTGAGTCTCACTTTTGAAAAGTTCCTCCTACATGAAGCCACCGAAACACAAATGGTGAGAAATAAGTGTAGGCTTCATGAGTGGATTGGGGGTTAGTCTAGGAAGACCCAGTGAGTTATGAATTTTAACTTTCAAATAGTGACCAATCTTTTGCTTCGTCGCCTAAGCCGGAGCCCCTTGAGCTTTGGGCAAAGTTATCATCACACTGTCATCATGGCACCACAACTTACTCGACGCCAGCGGGCAACACAAGTCACTCGACGCGACCGGGCAGCACAAGTCACTTGACGCACCCAGGCAGCACAAGTCACTCGACGTACCCGGGCAGCACAAGTCACTCGACGTACCCGGGCAGCACAAATCACTTTACACACCCGGGCAGCACAAATCACTTGACGCACCCAGGCAGCACAAGTCACTCGACGTACCCGGGCAGCACAAGTCACTCGACGTACCCGGGCAGCACAAGTCACTCGACGTACCCGGGCATCACAAGTCACTCGACGTACCCGGGCAGCACAAATCACTTGACGCACCCGGGCAGCACAAGTCACTTGACGCACCCGGGCAGCACAAGTCACTCGACGTACCCGGGCAGCACAAGTCACTCGACGTACCCGGGCAGCACAAATCACTTGACGTACCCGGGCAGCACAAATCACTTGACGCACCCGGGAAGCACAAGTCACTCGACGTACCCGGGCAGCACAAGTCACTCGACGTACCCGGGCAGCACAAATCACTTTACGCACCCGGGCAGCACAAATCACTTGACGTACCCGGGCAGCACAAGTCACTCGACGCACCCGCGGGCAGAACTGCCAAAAAGTCCTCCCACTCACACAGACACGTTTGCTCTCCAAGCAACTTTTCAACAGAAATGAATGCAACATAATGATTAGTTTGCTTGGTGAGAAGTAAAGAAGAATACCAGAAGAATCACGCCCCAGAGGTATATTAGTCTATTTATGTCGAATGGGCTTAGTCGCACTTTTCCCAAATATGTTTGTCGCAATTCAAATTTTGCTAACACACCCAATCACAAATAGGAGTGCTGCGAGAAACCTTTTTAGGCTTAAACTCATGAACATATCTTTCTTCTACCATGTCTCTAGATTGGTTGGTTGGTGTAACTTAAGCTACAACCACAATGTACAATGAAGGAACGATTGCAGGAGAGTTGGATTTGACTAATTACAATTTGCAAATTTAAGAATTGAGTTCGAGTTAAATTAGGTCACTTACAAATTATTTTTAAAAAATAATTAATTTCATCATTGGAATTTATACTTCAAAACTGATTACTAGCATATAAAGATAACTGGGTTTTTTTTTTTTTTTTTTTTTTTTTTTTTTTTTTTTTTTTTTTTGTTTTTTGTTTTTTTTTTTTTTGGGGGGGTAGGGGGGTTCAAATCTTTTAAGGGTCGTTTTAAAATCCATTTTATGGGTGTCTTAATTTTTGTCTTGCCTATCGCACAAACTTTTCTAAGGTTGGCCTGTTAAATTGCAATACTCAGTTAAATGATAATGAATAGAAAGCTGGTGAGAATCTCATATAGTAAACTAACGATTTAAAATAGGCTCATGGTTAAATGACATAGATTCATAGCTATGGAAACATACGTATTTCATATACCGTATGACAATAACTTAAAGAAATAAAGTCGTAAGGATATTTGATTTGTATCGCATAATAGTTTCAACAATGTATGTATGTATGGCATCTTTCCGTCTGCGGGAGACGATAGATTATCTTATTGCTTGCAGCTCTTGGTCTGGCTGGTGAGACCAATCCTCGAATGGCTGTTTCTGTTACATTTCCCACACACGAATGCGGTGGAGCAGTATTTACCGGCCTCCCTCCTCGCTCTTTTTGCAGCTGTTTCCGCCCTGTGTTGATCCTCGGCATGTAGTGATCCGGCCTTCACGATGCCCCGCCATGAGGATCGATCCTCTGCCAGCTCCTAGGCTCCCAGTTTGAGATGTCGATGTTGGCCGACTTCATGTCTCTTTTGCATATGTCTAAGTATCTCAGACGAGGCCGTCCAACTGACCTTTTCCCTGTCGCCAGCTCGCTGTATAGCACGTCCTTTGGTATGCGACCAGATTGCATTCGCTTGACGTGTCCAAGCCAGCGGAGGCGTCTTTGGATTAACATGGCTGGGACGCTACACATGTTTGTTTGGGACAGGACATCCGTGTTGGGGACTTTGTCTTGCCATTTAATGTCAAGGATATCCCTGTCGCCAGCTCGCTGTATAGCACGTCCTTTGGTATGCGACCAGATTGCATTCGCTTGACGTGTCCAAGCCAGCGGAGGCGTCTTTGGATTAACATGGCTGGGACGCTACACATGTTTGTTTGGGACAGGACATCCGTGTTGGGGACTTTGTCTTGCCATTTAATGTCAAGGATGTGGCGCAGGCATCTGAGGTGGAAGCCATTTCAACAATATAACTTTAAAAATGTGTCCTAACACAGTGATGTTGTGAGTAAAATATCTGGAGATTTAGAATATTTCTCCTTAAATTTTATTTAATGAGTGGGCAACCCTGGGTGTCACCCCATTACTGAGAGGGTGTCACCCGATGCGGGCTGAAAGCCTGCACGCACCTAGTGACGCCACTGGACGTGCGGTCAAAAATGTGTCACTCCTATTACAGTGGATTGGAGTTCCATACCCATAAAAAAATCCCCCATCCAGCCAGAATATAAGAATACCAATGAACGATTTTGATGAGGAAGAAACATGGTCTTCAGATTTACTCAAGATCACGGGTCTGTCTGTGACTTTATTTTCAGAATTTTGACCCAAACAAGCAGGGTTCGGTGGCGAACTTAGGGGGCACCACCCATGGTGGCACTTTGGGGCTTTATCAACTTTATGCATACCATTATATAAATAGTGTATGTGGTAAGGGTTGCATTTTTGAGAGTTTGCCGCGGGTGGCCGTTAGTCAAGATTCGCCACTGCTTTGTTCAAATTTTGGTAATCAACATAAGATTCTTTGTGAAGTGTATTAAGATTTGAAGACAAAGTGGTGTCCTTTCCATTTAATGTGGAAGAAAATGTCTCTGTTCATGTTGTGACCATAATTCTCCCCCGCTTGTTTTCATTGGATGACTTTAAATTCGCATTGCAACCCCTGCATCATGTTTTGATGAAAGCCTTTATTTTATTCTATGGATGGCAACTGTGAAACAACAATGTAATCAGTATAGAGCAAGATACATTACAACGCAGTCGTTCAAGTTGTCATTTCGTTTATTTCAGATAGCCAAGCTGCTATTATGAGTTTAAAAATGGTCGTAAAGCATCCATTTGGTGATACCATGTGGTGGGTGTGTGTGTGGGGGGGGGTTGCAATAATGTATTTGTCTGAAAGCATCCATTTGATGATACCATTCATATGTGTGGATGGAAGGGGGAGGTGCAATAATGTATTTGGAGGAGTTTTAATTCAAATCTTTTCAGGGACTAATACTTTTTGAACATAAACCAAGGACCACACGTTAGGATTATTAGGATCCAATGGTAGAGATTTTGGAATATGTGAGACTAAAGGAAAACTAAATCCGTGACGAGGATTATGGGACATTAGACTCGTTGATACGTAGGTCACGTGATCACGGGTCTGGCACAGCTTTAGCCTCGGCGTCTCCTGGGACATCTGGGGAGGGAAATCATCAAATTGTTAACAAAAAATATGAACTAATATATCCCAAAACATTAAAGGAAATGGTGATGTAAGCTTGGAGTTTAATGAAGCGATGATGTACGCTTGTTTGCAAAGGAGTGGTGTTGTAAGCGTGGGTGTGAAGGAAGTGTTAATGAAAGCTTGAAGGTAAAGGAAATGGTGATGTAAGCTTGGAGGTAAAGGAAGTGGGGATGTATGCTTGGAGGTAAAGGAATTGACGATGTAAGCTTGGAGTTGGAGGTAAAGGAAGTGGTGATGTAAGCTTGGATGTATCAATAAGCACATTTTTTTGGTGTTCAAAATAATTGGCTAACATTTCTACCACAAAGCTGTGTATTTTAATAAGTACCCGGTACTCTAAATGAGCCGGCGACAATTACGCAGCGGGGAGAAAAAAAAATGAGTTTGTTATATGTAAAACTTAGAACTGGTTGTGTGTGCAAGAGATTTGAACGTTCCAACTTGGCTATTTTTGAAGATAGCGGGTGTCAAAATCCACTTTCCTGGCGTCTAAAAATTCTGTTCCTGATTTTTTTTTAAATTCATAACTTTCTAAATATTGGAGATAGAGTTAGAGAGTTAAAATTTGTGGATCTCTTCTGATGAAGCCAAGCTCTATTTAGGGGAATAGTTTAATTTTATCTAATTTCATTATGAAATTTTCATTTAGAATACCTAATTTAAACAAAGATTACTTACTCGCAACAAGCCAGACCAATGTCCTCCTCACAAACACATTCGTAGCAAGCGTCATTTTTTCTGGCTACGATAAAATCTCCTTTCGTCATGAACGCGGGGTCCATGTGTGTGCGGCAGAATTCAACTCTACGGCCATCCGATGCTGTGGACATAGATGAGTTGCTTGAGCAATGCCGTCAACGTTACTATCAGATGATTTAGATACAGATGACTAAATGATATTATCAATGACAAAAATGTGAAAATATCCTGTCTATTTCAATTTTTTCCAACTATTGAATGTCTAATATAGACTTTAAGCAATTTTTTTCATTCTTAAGTTTTATGGCATTGAGCATCATCCTGGAATTTCGCTCACATCATAAACGCAAAAGAATTAACTGTTGTATAGTTTTTAACTTAGAAAATATGCATTGTTCCTATGTATTATTATTATTCGCAGCAGAAATGCTATACTAAAGACACTGATAATATACTGAAACTAGGGAGAAAGGGGTGCAATTTTCGAGAGTGTGCCCCAAGCATTTGACAGGATATGCGCTATTCGGTTTGGGGGGGGGGGAGGGGTAAAAACAGATTCGTGCCGGTTATGAGTTGGCGCATTTGCCTGGGACAGCTATCCCCAGGTTTCGCTGTATGAATTGTATGACACTCATGGATATTCTTAACTAATATTGAAAAGTAAAAGTATATTTACGCTCATGCATTTTCTGTTTACCTAATTTCTTAATTATTTTATTTAAAATCTCTTATACATATTTTGCTTGTTGTGTGACTGCTTCCATTTCCAGATAGCGCGCAAAATATAATTCCCAATAACTACGCTAAATGATTTTTTTTAGTAAAGCAACTGCGTTTGATGCCTACTATTTTTTTTTTTCTGGATATGAATTTCTCTCAATTTAAATATGGTGTAATAAATATTCGGTTTAAACGTGGTTGGGACATCGGAATATGGGTTCATGGGCGTGAAATAACAAGTGTGCAGTGACGTCATGTGGGAAGGGATGTTGCAAAAATGGGGATTCTTAAACTTAAATGTGCGTTACTTGAGTTCATGTTTTGTTAAGTATATGGAAAATTCACTTATTGGTGTCGCCAATGTGTGGCGAGCCATTACCAGTATTACTTCTGTTATTATTTCTTCTGTACTATTTCGTAATTTTATACTGATTACCGACACCCGGTTTCTTGATAAACGCCCACGTGACATTCTCGCACACGATAACCGCGCAAAGAAAACTTTGAACAGGCATAATTTCGGACACTGAAAATGCGCGCACCAACAGATGCGAACAAGGCAAATCGCGCACACCCACAGATGCACACAACGAAAATCGTGCACACGGTCAAGTGCGAACAATGGCAATTATGAACTTGTGTGCAAATGTAAAGAATTAAGAATTCAGTTGGTTTCCAACAGATAAGACAAGTACAAGCTGATAATAATTATGAAAGGCTGTGAATGATCATTTTAAAGTCAAAAATATTTTTAAAATAGGTGATCTAGTATCTGACAAGTGTTGAATCTCTGCAAAAATAGATTATTAGTATTTAACTACGAAAGAATATGATTTATACTGGTAAACGTTCACTTTATGTTTGGTAATGAAGAAAACGACTTTTTTTCAAAATAATAATTCCTCTACTTTAATATTTACTTCTGATGAAAATAACGACACATCATTAGAGCCTGATAATGACACATCATTAGAGTCTGATAATGACACACCTCTAGAGTCTGATAGTGACACATCACCAGAGTCTGTTAATGACACATCACCATAGTCTGATAATAACACATCATTAGAGAGTCTGATAATATAATGACACATCATTACAATCAAATCATTAGAGTCTAATAATAGCACATCTCTAGAGTCTGATAATGACACATCACTTGAGTCTGATAACGACACATCATTAGAGGCTGATAATGACAAATCATTAGAGGCTGATAATGACACATCTTTAGAGTCTGATACAATTACAGAGAATGTTACTTAATCTTATATTTATAATCGTAATCATCAAATAACTTAAATTTAAAGATTTGTATTATTTATTGTATTTTGTAACGGCTCATTACAGCCTGTAGATGGTACTATTAGCATATACTTCCTTTATTAGATTGAATAAGCTATAAATAATATTAGGCTATTAAGTTTTTCTTTTTTGTAAACTCAGTAAAGGACCATTACTGTAGCCTTAGTTTTTTCAGTGAAATTTATTCATTCATACTTTGATTAAGTACTTTTTTTTTAAAATTAATTTTAATGTAGATGCTGATGCCTTTGCTTGTAAATGTATCAGTGTCAATGATAACAGTTATGAGAATAACTATTGTTTAGGTCAGTGGTTCTTAACCTGGGTACGATCGAACCCCATTTGGCTTTTGCTTATTGTCAAATGTCTTGATGATATATTGTGCATTTCATTGTAGATACAAGGCTGCGAAAAAAAACAACAACTTGGTGATGGCCGTAAGACATTAGAAACAAATGAGATTAACTATTGTTTAGGTTAGTGGTTCTTAACCTGGGTACGATCGAACCCCAGGGGTTCGGTAAGTCAGTCTCAGCGGTTCGGCGGAGGTCCAAAAAAAAAAAAAAAAATCAGAACAAAAATAATATTTTATTTTTCCTATTAAGAAGGGTTCGGTGAGTGCGCATCTGAAACTGGTGGGGTTCAGTACCTCCAAAAAGGTTAAGAACCACTGGTTTAGGTGAACCGTTTTTACCGTGAGTAGTGAACGTTAAGGGTAGTATCGTGGCTGATTGTGATTGGATGAAAGGGAAAATGCATATTGCAAGTGTGTGTGAATGAAAGGTGTGTGACATCGAGACGTGAGTTTGTTGGCACATGGAGTCCAAGAGTTGGTGTACAGTAGCCAGGTGTGTGTGTGGCTAGTTGAAGTTAGTTCACGCTGAGTCTTCGTTGCCTAAGTTGATGTCAGTCCCCGAGGCTGGTATTGTGTATACTATTATGTTGATGTCTTGCCAGTACCATGAATAAAGAACAATGTTGCTGCCTACAATAGTTGGTTGCGTGACTCTTAATGCAGAGTGCTGCTGTGTTACAGTGAACCTAGACAACATGACTCTGAGTGCAGAGTGCTGATGTGTTATAGTGAACCTAGGCAACATGACTCTGGGTGCAGAGTGCTGATGTGTTATAGTGAACCTAGACAACATGACTCTGAGTGCAGAGTGCTGCTGTGTTATAGTGAACCTAGACAACATGACTCTTAGTGCAGAGTGCTGCTGTGTTATAGTGAACCTAGACAACAGGACACTTAGTGCAGAGTGCTGCTGTGTTATAGTGAACCTAGACAACAGGACACTTAGTGCAGAGTGCTGCTGTGTTATAGTGAACCTAGACAACAGGACACTTAGTGCAGAGTGCTGCTGTGTTATAGTGAACCTAGACAACAGGACACTTAGTGCAGAGTGCTGCTGTGTTATAGTGAACCTAGACAACATGACTCTGAGTGCAGATTGCTGCTGTGTTATAGTGAACCTAGACAACATGACTCTGAGTGCAGAGTTCTGCTGTGTTATAGTGAACCTAGACAACATGACTCTGAGTGCAGAGTGCTGCTGTGTTACAGTGAACCTAGACAACATGAATCTGAGTGCAGAGCGCTGCTGTGTTATAGTGAGCCTAGACAACAGGACCCTTAGTGCAGAGTGATGCTGTGTTATAGTGAACCTAGACAACAGGACCCTTAGTGCAGAGTGCTGCTGTGTTATAGTGAACCTAGACAACATGACCCTCAGTGCAGAGTGCTGCTGTGTTATAGTGAACCTAGACAACATGACTCTGAGTGCAGAGTGCTGCTGTGTTATAGTGAACCTAGACAACAGGACCCCTAGTGCAGAGTGCTGCTGTGTTATAGTGAACCTAGACAACATGACCCTCAGTGCAGAGTGCTGCTGTGTTATAGTGAACCTAGACAACATGACTGTGAGTGCAGATTGCTGCTGTGTTATAGTGAACCTAGACAACATGACTCTGAGTGCAGAGTGCTGCTGTGTTATAGTGAACCTAGACAACATGACTCTGAGTGCAGAGTGCTGCTGTGTTATAGTGAACCTAGACAACATGACTCTCAGTGCAGAGTGCTGCTGTGTTATAGTGAACCTAGACAACATGACTCTGAGTGCAGAGTGCTGCTGTGTTATTGTGGACCTAGACATCGGTGACAGAAATACGTGAAGGGGTCTCGACCTAGAAACCAATATTTTAACAGTCAGCGCTAAACTAATTGTTTAACGTCTTTTGGCAGAATCTTTGGCTATGAATAATGATGACAGTGAGGGTAACGAAATGTACGTTTTTTTCCACCATTTAGAGTTGAGACAGACAGTGTGCAAGGCATACAGCTTCCTGGTGTGAAAACAAGAGAACTTTAAAGGACCTTTCCTAAAACTAATACCAAACGACTAATCCAAACTTTATTTTACAACATATTTATTCAATAAATTTTACTTACACAAATGAATAAAATAAAGGACCATGGGTCCAAAGAAACCTTCTGTTTTCTAAGAATGGTACCGTATCTATAAATAATATAATATTGTGTTCAAATATTTTGCCAAATAATTTTACTTTATTTTTTTTAATTATTTATATTTGCATTTTCATTATCTTTTTATTCGTAAACTTGTAGCCTTTTATTCTAATAGCCAACTGAGCGGAACCATTTTAACTCTATAAATGTTGCTTAAAATTTAGTTTCATTGTTAACGTGCGCAATCGTCTGTGTCCGCAGTTGTCCGCTTGCGAAATTTTTTGTGTGCGCAACAGTCATGTGCGCAGTTATGCGCGTTTATCGTGTACACGTTTGTCTTGTGCGCATATGTCTCGTCAGCCCGTAAAATCAGTGTGTCCCTTCTAATTGATGTACACTGTTGAAATATCATTTCTATGCTATTCCATTTCCTTGCTTGGCTGGGCAATTTCAGAAGATAAATGAGGTGTGAGGGGTGGGGGGCTGAAATGAACGTCTTTGATTGGCTCAAATCTTTTTACTGCATACCTATACAGTCTGTTGGCGCGTGACATGATTGGTTCTATAATTGCTTCATTAGCGAATCCCTGCCATTATCTCGTGAGATGTTCCGGTTATTGTTGGCCAGGTTTACGGATTGTGTTGCCGATTGTTCTCGTTAGCATGACACTGTTGTTTATGACTCATTTATCTTTACATAAATTCTGGTAATTGCCCTCCATCCACCCCCACCCCCAAATTAAGAAAAAAATATATTAAAATTTTACAAATCAATGAACTGCTCATTTGTCGCTACCACTAATCCATAGTGTATCATGGAACAACGTCTTGGTTTGAATTTTGCATTCACTGCAGTTAGAGCGGCTCGAAAAGGGCCATACTAAAACGTGGGAGACATTTCTATCACATATTCACATTTATTTTAGTATATAATAATTCGCAAACATTAACGACGTAATTAGGGGGTCGTTCGCAAATTACGTCACGCTCGGGGGGGGGGGGGGGGGGGGGAAGGTGTGACCCTTTTTAGCGGGGGGAGGGGGGGGGGTGAAAAAAATGTGTGACACTTTTTAGCAGGTGGAAGGGGGGGGGTTAAAAAATGTGACGTCACCATTAAAAAAAATTTAATCTAAATTTTTTAATTTAAAAAAATCATTATTCAATTTAATTTAAAAACATTAATTTGATCTCGAAATTACCTTAGGTATTATAAGTACGGTAAACTCAGTCGCGCACACCTTCTGCGCATATCGAAAAATGACGCAAAAACTGTTGTGGCCATTTTACAATCGGCTCGGGGAGGATTTCGTTGTTTTACGTCACAGTTTTCTAATAATTCTACATTTTAATCCATTGTGGGAAAATGTTAAAGGATAAAATAAAATCTTATTTTAGTTATGAAAAGTTTATGTATGTTTTGAATTTTTTTAGGTGTGACGTGACACTAAAAGTAAAAGAAAAAAAAGGGGGGGGGTGTAAAGAATTCGTGACACTTTGTGACAGGGGGGGATTGGGGGTCTGAAAAGGTCAATTTTTGCGTGACGTAATTTGCGAACGACCCCTTAATTGGCGCATTCAAAATTGTTGCAGGCCATAGGTCATAAGTCGTAGGTCAGAACAAGATAAAATTTAAATATGTGGACCAAACTGGATTGAACTACAATCCACAAGTTTGCAAGTGATTAATTTTGACAGCCAAGCCAACCAGCCACCAAAATTGTCAAGCTAAATCTAAGACTATACGTCAGTGTGTGTGTGTGTGTGACGTGAGTGGCGAGCGTAGTGCTGGTAGCGCTGCAGCAGTGACTAAGGTGATGGTGCGAAGCCAAATGGTATGACATAACATAAGTTGGATTCATAACCAGTGTAGTTAGTGCAACCAGGGGCACCCCTCCCTACGCCACTGGTCATAACTTCATGTGACCACTTTCACTTCACGTGATCACGAAAACCTGACGTGATCACTTGCACCCCCACATGATCACGTACTTCTCAAATGCCCACCTGCGCCTCATTATGCAGTATTTCTTTGAGGCATCTCTCCGGGGGAAAATGTATACAACAATAAAACGGAAATCTATTTTATTACATACAATTAGTGGAACCTATGAAATATCGATACGCTCAATATATTAGATTTTAGATGATCCGTATCTAAGACTATCTTAGATATCTAAGGCTAATCTTATTAGAGGCTTACTCTAATCGATTATAAATATCGTACTGTGCCGAAAATTGGCCTCTTCTAACTGTGAACCAAAATCTTACTTTTTGTTGTTCGCGTAAATTGTTTTTTTTCCCCCTTAATAACACTGCATGAAACTACCTTTACATGAATATAAAGGTCTATGATTTTAATATATTTCTAGCTAAGTATCTAATTCTAATTTAAATGCAACATGTTTTCAAATTATATTTCACATTAAAAGCCTGAATTTTTAAGTGTGGATAGGCATCAATTATAAATTGCATGGTGATATCATGTTTCAAAAATATAGTTGTTGTTTTTTAAATACTTATCCCATATTTATTCAATTGCCAACTGCTTTTCTGTGTTTAAATTTTTAATATCAGTGATTAGAATAATAAACAATCTTCCCAAAAATTTTTCATGCATTTAAAAAAAAAATTGTTTTCATATGAGAATCAAGTAGAAAGCCTTAACACACAAAAAAAAAAAAAAAAAAAAAAATTTGTGTGAACATGTATTTTTTTAGGATTTAAACCTGTTTGGAAGGAATGATTTGTTTTGTTGGTTATTTTAATTCATTTATTGATTGAGTAATGAACTCCAAATACCCAAATAAATGCCACATTACTATTTAGTCATTTTAAAAACTATTTGTATAACACAAGAAGGTCAAGCAGAGCCACTTTACGTTTCGAGACCCCCTGCCACTTTTCGGTTTTGTCCTCCGCCACATGGCCTTCAAAAGGGATCATTTAAAAAAATGTCCTCATCACAACTTTAAGCCCTTCAAATATCCTAGGCCTCCTGCAGCTGTATGGATTGCAGCGCCCACATGATGGCTCTGAGGTCAAGTGACAACTACATTTTTTAATGTCTGTTTCGCCGTTGCTTTCCAATAATGTGTAGAAAACTAAATTCGGGTATGTGCTAAGTTGCAGTTTTGCATTGTGAAGTTATCAACCATTTTCTGGGGACTATTAAGATTTAAAGGGAGTGGGAAGCTATGGTAAAAGTCAAATCCTCAAAATCTACAAGTAGAATGAATTTAGCTCATGTCAGGAGTAAGAGATGCACCCTATCGTTGTTATGGCTAATTTGGCGCCTCCTACTCGAAAGTCTGAAATTTCCCCTAAAAATTGTCGGAAAGAAATTTTGAATTTAAGTACGTGCCAAAAATATATCCCTGCATTTTGAATTGGCCCGACAGTCTTCGGCACCCTCAATTTCAGCTTCCCCCTTCCCTCAAGTTGATCACTGTGAAAGTACGTGGTTGAATGAATATAAGCTTTTGTCAAATGATAACCCTGGGGCACGCCAAAACCGGAGTGAATTTAGTTTATTTAAGGCACTGAATACCATCATCCCACTAGTACGGCGCACGGCGCCATCTGTCCCACTCCCCCCCCCCCTTTAGCTACGCATCTGGGCACTGTCACTGCCCTCCAGCCCCAACAATCTAAAATCCTCCCCCCCCCCTATTGTCAAATGATAACCCTGGGGCACGCCAAAACCGGAGTGAATTTAGTTTATTTAAGGCACTGAAAACCCTCACCCCACTAGTACGGCGCACGGCGCCATCTGTCCCACTCCCCCCCCCCCTTTAGCTACGCATCTGGGCACTGTCACTGCCCTCCAGCCCCAACAATCTAAAATCCTCCCCCCCCCCTGGAAAATTGTCTGAAAGAAACACTGCTCACATGTCAAGATCAGGCGGACCACCCGTGGGCGTAAAAATACGTCAAAAATTGAGACCTTGTTTTGCACGCTCAAGTTGTTGATAACAAAACAAAAAACGCCATTTACGAATACCCGTTGTGTACAGAGTCAGTGCTATTTTGGGATTAGGACGTCATAAAAATGCTGGCATTAATTGTGCTCTCTCCACGTTCCTTGTTTGTGACAAGCAATGAGCTAGCCTCGAAAATAAATGGTGTTATTTCTAGCATAATTTCTACAAGCTTTCAATCAAGTCATATGCACACATTGTGTAAGTTTCTCAATCTTTTACGCACAATATTCTCTACACTTTAAACCAAGTCATATGCACACATTGTGTAAGTTTCTCAATCTTTTACGCACAATATTCTCCACACTTTAAACCAAGTCATATGCACACATTGTGTAAGTTTCTCAATCTTTTGCGCACAATATTCTCTACACTTTAAACCAAGTCATATGCACACATTGAGTAAGTTTCTCAATCTTTTACGCACAATATTCTCTACCCTTTAAACCAAGTCATATGCACACATTGAGTAAGTTTCTCAATCTTTTACGCACAATATTCTCTACACTTTAAACCAAGTCATATGCACACATTGTGTAAGTTTCTCAATCTTTTACACACAAAATTATCCACAATTTAAATCAAGTAATATACACACATTGTGTAAGTTATTAAATCTTTTACACAAAGACAAGACCACTTCAATGTACCTACTTGTTGTGGATAACACAAAGACAAGGCCACTTCTATGTACCTACTTGCTGTGGATAACTCAAGACATGGCCACTTCTATGTACCTACTTGTTGTGGATTCCATACTCCCGAATTCACAAACGAAGTCGAGCCTGGCGTTGACAAACGGAAGTGACGAAATCATTCCCAGCAGGACTGTCGCAACCAGAAGCACCAATGAACGAGGAGTTGATTGAATGGCATGTCTCTCCATTTCCACGACTGTAACTGTACTTCTGCCTTTCTACCCCCAGTAGACCTGTCTGTATCAGTAGTGTGTCTGCCTACCACCAGTAGACTTGTCTTTACCAGTAGTCTGAGTGTGTGTATCAGAAGTCTGCCTGTGTACCACCAGTAGAACTGTCTTTATCAGTAGTCTGCCTGTCCACCACCAGTAGTCTGTATCAGTAGACTGCCTGTGTACCACCAGTAGTCTGTACCAGTATACTGCCTGTTTACCACTTGTAGAGCTGTCTGTATCAGTATATATAAAAACGCCGGAGATCTGTCTTATAAGACCACACAACTAGATCAACGTGACACGATAGACAGAAACGTCAACTCTACGATATCTTGTGATAACTCCTAATTCAAGAAAATGGATACTATGTTTTACTTGTAGAATTCCCTCTTATCGCGTATATAATAATGTATATAGAAGTCCTTGTGGCTGTGTATATGTAAAACACGTGTCACAGATCGCTGGACGTTAACATGTAGAGTCTCTTATACTGTGAGTACAACACTGTGTATGTCATGGATATCCCGAGTCCCTGACACATAGTAGATCAAACCGTTTGTCTTACGCCGTCGTTATCCCGTTCAATTTTGTCCATCGTCTCGCCTTGACTTGTACCAACTTGAAATGCTGTGGCCGAGCGTGGTCCACGGCTTGTATCTATGGCATTGAGGCGGCCCGTCCAATCATCGCTAAAGCTGTCGCTACAGTGCATATGTCAGTGGCGGGGCCTTCATCCCCCGCACAACGCTAAAAATTGACGCACGCCGCAGCCGACGTTGGAAATCATCCGGTAAAACAATACCATCCAATCATTAATAGACACGCGAAATCTTCATTCCCTCGCCAGTGGCCTCGCTTTCTGGCCTGTCTGTGGTATTATTGGAACATGTCAACCCCTCTCGTCTTTCAACGATACCCGAATTGATGGGTAATGTCACCGTCGGCTAACCTCACTGTCAACGCTTTCCTCGTTTATAAATTAACACCGTCATAAAGATTCGCAAATAAATATGAATATGTTATGGGTGTTCTTTTGTTTCTCATGTTTTTCCCACTTGTCATCAGCTTTCCCTTTACTTTGTAAGGGTGATCTATAATTTATACATCAATTGCGTTTGTTTTGCTTGAGAAGTAGTTTTAAATAGGTAGATATGTGTACCCCAGGTTCATGATACCCCTACAATGATTTGGAATACATATTTGTTTTTTTTTTTTTCTTGTAGTGCTATCGAAATCATGTGAATCCTCCCTGTATTCATTACGTAAATGTGTGGAGACATCTCGAATCGTATATGAAAAAGATGTCGGCTTAGCACACTATAACTTTGTTTTAATAAGAGTGCGTGTTACAAAGGTGCATCAGTCTGAAGGAAACCATTCCTAAACCTACAGACAGTTACTACTATACAAAGATTTGGTTTTATAATATATATTACTTTCTTTTAATTATGGCGATATTTTGTGTTTAGGTTTAAGTATCACATTACACAGCCATAACATCTGGTTCTCGGAATCTTACACAGCTATAGGTCGCATGTTTCCTATAACTATAATAAATACAACATTATTCAGCCATAGGTTTCAGTAGACGTCCTGATCACAGTAGACTTCCTGATCACAATAGACGTCCTGAACACAGCAGACATGAAAGGCATAGACAATTACTAAAACCCATAATACTTTATTAGGAACATAAAATGATAATTTCCCAATTTAAGTTTAAGTGATGTCCACCGCACAGTCTTTTGAAAAGCAGACGGTACTTGACCTGGTTTCTCAAGCTTCCTTGGACCTCGGGCACGTAGTTCACCTAGGACACGTAGTTCAAGTGTAACACGTAACTCACCTGGGACACGTAGCTCACCTAGGACACGTAGCTCATCTAGGATACCTAGCTCACCTGGGACCCGTAGCTCACCTGGGACACGTAGCTCACCTAGGACACCTAGCTCACCTTGTACACGTAGATCACCTAGTACACGTAGATCCCCCTTGGGCACGTACCTCACCTAGTTGCTAAGAATTATCCGAAACTGCCTTCCATACGCTGACGTAATCATTCTGGTGTTTATGTCGGTCAGGGGTATCAAACTCGCGACCTGCGAGCCATTTGCGGCCCGCAAGACGATATTTGTCGGCCCGCTACATGACAGAAAATTTTAGTGTCGATGAGGCCCGCGCGTTTTCCCCATTCTCATATCTATAATGTGACCCTACGCGACAGTTTCAGTCGAATTTCACCGACTAGTCTAATTCAGATTTGTATCATGTTTGTTTAGATTTGGACGTTGATTATAATTGTAAAGACCGTTTTAGAATCGAACTAAACGTTTTTATTTTATAGCATTTTATGAGACAAACATGGCGGCCAAAGTGCTGTTTTGGGAAAAACTTAAAAAGGCCAGTTAGTGGGTAATGCACAACCATAATTGTGTACATCGTAGCAATCTGAAACAGTATCAAAGAATCCCTATTAAAATTGTCGCTAGTGTTTACGAGTGAGGGAAATTCCGAGCCTATCAGCTTGGTCACTTTCAAATAGAGTTAGTCAAAAAGGCCTTTTCTACGATTAAAAAAATCAAAATTCATTCTCCCTACAATAGCATCTTCCTTCGCATCAATAATTCATAAATAGTGCCTGCTCCTGGCTTCTGTATGAAAACGTTTTAGCATTTAAAGCCTTCACGGAGAAGGGTAGGGTGGTTGTTCCTGTACTAAGTGATCCCAAATGGCTAATGGGCTTGGCTTTTCTTGTTGACATTACACAGGACCTGAATGTGCTCAACAAGTTACAAGACCAGGGGCAGCTTGTTAGTGTTGCATATGACACTGTCAGGGAATTCTGAACAAAACTTGTGTTATGGTTCACAGAGAAACCTCTGCCATTTCCCAACATCCAAAGTGCTCATGGTCTCGGGCAAACCATTCAGTAGTAAATATACTGATGCCATTGCAAAACTACATGAAGAATTTGATCACTTGTTTTTAGTCTTCAAAACACACAGAGCCGTTTTTCAACATTTTGCTGACCCTTTCTCCTTCAGTGTGGAAGATGCCCCCCCCCCCAAACCTCTTTTTTTTTCGCTTTAATAAATGGATATGATTGATCTTCAGTGCAATTTTAAGTTCTGGGAGGTGAATTTAAAAACAGACAAGCATGGACATTTTATGAGAGCATTGCCCTTTTCTTTCCCTGAGGTTTCCAGTTGTTCAAGCGGATCATGTGCCTTTTTGGGAGTACCTATCAGTGTAAAAATCTCTTTTCCACAATGAACTTTAACAAGTCAATGTTCAGGGCCAAACTTACTGATGATCATCTTCAAGCTATACTGAGGGTCTCAGTTGCTTCCTCGCTCAAGCCAAATGTTGCTCAAATGTGTAAGAAGAAGCGCTGCCAGGTCTCTGGCAACAAGGATTGCAACAGTTGAACTTTATTGAATTTATAATCGCTTTTTTGTGAATACAACTGTACAAATACTGGTATTTATTGCTATCTATACAATTACAACACCAATATTTGACGTGTATATATATATATATATAGGGTGGGCCAATAAAAGTGAGAACATCTCGTAAAATATTACTATATATTATTATTATATATACTGTAATAATGAGAGCATAGCCCGTTTAAGGACAACAGCACTATGACACATTAGATATACCTAAGCTAATGGAGGGATTAGACATAGAATTTGTCTACAGATGTGGCCTGGGGCTTTTTTCATTGGTTTGTTTCTTCTATATCCTGGCAGAAGGTTTCTTATTATGGCGTCATGATGTGTTTATAAAAGGAAACGAAAAGCCTACGGTGACCAGTTGAGTTTATCATAGCAAATATGCGACCTATGGCTGTATAATGTGGAGTTTATTATAGCAAATATGCGACCTATGGCTGTATAATGTTGAGTTTATCATAGCAAATATGCGACCTATGGCTGTATAATGTGGAGTTTATCATAGCAAATATGCGACCTATGGCTGTATAATGTGGAGTTTATCATAGCAAATATGCGACCTATGGCTGTATAATGTTGAGTTTATCATAGCAAATATGCGACCTATGGCTGTATAATGTTGAGTTTATCATAGCAAATATGCGACCTATGGCTGTATAATGTTGAGTTTATCATAGCAAATATGCGACCTATGGCTGTATAATGTGGAGTTTATTATAGCAAATATGCGACCTATGGCTGTATAATGTGGAGTTTATTATAGCAAATATGCGACCTATGGCTGTATAATGTGGAGTTTAT